GGTCCATTTGATCTATTGTATATTTTAGATCTTGGATTTCTTTATTGATTTTTTGTTTGGATGACCTATCTATTGATGATAATGGGGTGTTAAAGTCTCCCACAACCACTGTGTTGGAGTTAATATGTGCTTTTAGGTCTTTCAGGGTATGTTTGATGAAATTGGGTCTGTTGACATTGGGTGCATATAGGTTGATAATTATTATTTCCTTTTGGTCTATTTCCCCTTTTATTAGTATGGAATGTCCTTCTTTATCTCATTTGATCAATGTAGGTTTGAAGTCTACTTTGTCAGAGATAAGTATTGCTACTCCTGCCTGTTTTCGGGGGCCATTGGCTTGGTAAATCTTCTTCCAGCCTTTCATCCTAAGCCTATGCTTATTTCTGTTGTGAGATGGGTCTCCTGTAAGCAACAAATTGTTGGATCTTCCTTTTTAATCCATTTCATCAAGTGTGCCTTTTGATGGGTGAATTAAGTCCGTTAACATTATTAGTACTGATAGGTATGTGGTGATTCCTGTCATTTAGTTGTCTTAGTTTGTTTGAAGGTTTGATTGTGTGTACCTAATTGAGGTTACTCTCTACTTTCTTGCTTTTTCTTTCCTGTGTTTGGTGCCCTTTTCATGGTTAAGTTGGGTTTCACTTTCTGTGTGCAGAATCCCTTGCAGAATCTTTTGTAGTGGTGGCTTTGTGGTCACATATTGTTTTAGTTTCTGCTTATCATGGAAGACTTTTATTGCTCCATCTATTTTGAATGATAGTTTTGCTGAGTAGAGTATCCTGGGGTTGAAGTTATTTTCATTCAGTGCCCGGAAGATCTCACCCCACGCTCTTCTTGCTTTTAATGTTTCTGTTGAGAAGTCTGCTGTGATTTTGATGGGTTTACCTTTGTATGTTATTTGTTTTTTCTCTCTTACAGCCTTCAATATTCTTTCCCTAGTTTTCTGAACTTGTTTTTAATGATGATATGTCGTGGGTAGTTCTATTTTGATCTGGTCTGTTTGGTGTCCTGGAGGCCTCTTGCATCTGTATGGGAATATCTTTCTCTAGATTTGGTAAATTTTCGTTATTATTTTGTTGAATATATTATGCATTCCCTTTGCTTGCACCTCTTCTCCTTCTGCAATGCCCATGATTCTCAAGTTTGGTCTTTTGATGGAGTCAGTGAGTTCTTGAATTTTCTTTTCACAGGTCTTGAGTTGTTTAATTAATAGTTCTTTGGTTTTTCCTTTAATTACCATTTCATCTTCAGTTCTGAGATTCTGTCTTCTGTTTGTTCTATTCTGCTGGATTGGCCTTCCGTTTTGTTTTGCATTCTGTTTTTTTTCTTTTTCTGAGGTTTTCCATATCCTGGTGTTTTCCTCTTTAATGTTGTCTATTTTTGTCCTGAGTTCATTTTATCTCTTTATTATCGTGTTCTCTGTTTCACTTTTGTTATACAGTGCTTCTATGGTTTCCTTTATTTCTTCTTTTGCTTTTTCAATTCTCTATTTTTGTTGTCTTGGAATTTCTGAGTGTCTCCTGTACATTTTGGTTGACCCTATCCAGTATCATTCTATAAAATTCTCATTGATACTGTAGTATTTCTTCTTTTAAATTATTCTTGTAGGCTTCATTGGGTCTTTGGCATAGTTTATCTTCATTTTGTTGGAGTCTGGATCTGAGTATCTGTTTTTCTTCATTTCCCTCTGGTTCCTGTACTAATTTTTGCTGTGGGGAAACTGGTTTCCCTGTTTTTTCTGTCTTCCCGTCATTGCCCTTGGTGTTGTTATGTCCTGTACTGTGTGCAATTAAGTATTTTTCTGGCTTATAATAATAACAATGTGATATTTAGAATGGAAGGGTGAGAGTGAATGGAAAGCAAAGAAGTTAAAGAAAAGGGAAAAACAAATCAGTAGAAAAAAAACAAAACAAAGAAACAACAAAAAGTTTCAAAGATATAAAACAGGGAGTTAGACTGTACTAATCAACTGTAAGCTGAAAAGGCATTAGAGAGACAGAGAGAGGATTGAAAATAAAAATTTAAAAAGAATAAAAATAAGTAAAAAATAAAAAATAAGTAAATGAAAAAAATATATATGTATAAAATAAAAAAAATAAAATAGAAAAAAAAAAAAAAACCTCCCAAGTTCAAATGCAATGAAGTTTCAGTCTTAATAATTTGGGTGTCCTGTCCCTCAGCCTCCAATCCTGGAGATGGTGCCTCAGATGTTGTTCTGTAGTTGTCTCATCAAAGGGGGATATATAGTAGAACAAAACTGCACAAAAAACAACAACCCACAAAGTGTCCCAGTTCAAATGCAATACAGTTTTCGTAAGTTTTTCAGCATGCAGGTGTAGTTCGGTTGTTCTTCTCATCAAAGGTAGGGAGAAAGAAAAAAATCTGGAGACAGGTCTGAAATGGTATCTGTGGCTGTGCTTGCCTGCCACTGCTGTAGCTTGCTGTAGCTGGAGCTGTATTTATGCAGATCTCTGGGTGAGCTAGCATCACCTGGCCCCAGGCTTTTTTTTCTCAGAGTTCTCCTGCAGCTGCTGCTACAGGCTTTCCCTTTCCAAGCACACTGGGGAGGTGACACTGCACCCACTTGTCTCAGGCCTGCGTGTTTTATTTACATTCAGTTGTGGGAATGGGTCTTCCCCCTCTCCTGTGGAGTTTTTCCTCCCACTTCTGCTTTACAAGCTTTCCCGCTCCTGATTGCTGGGCATGTGCTGCTGCTTCTGCTGGCCAGCATGTTTGTTTACAGCTCACATGGGAGGTGGGTCTTCTCTCTCCTGTGGAGATTTCCTCCCTCTGCCACTCTCACAAGCTTTCCTGCTCCTGGTTGCTGGGTGCGCTCCCCTGCCGTCTCCGGCCAGGCCCAGCTTGTTTATTTACAGTTCCGGGAGGGATTCTCCTCTCCCCTTCTTCAGTGCTCAGGGCACCCCACTCTCTTTGCTACATGTGTTTATTGTTCTTATTGCTTATTTCTCAATTTCTCTTTTTTTCCCCGGGTGGGGTTCGGTCTGTCCAGGGGGCTATGCTGATCTGGCCCAGGGTTGTCTGTGGAAGTACTGTGTATCACTTAGCTCACCTTGTCCGTGTCTTCCCAAGCCGTCTGGGCGCAGGCCCGGGGACCCTCCTGGTTTCTCCATTTAACGTGAAGTGGAGATTCTCTGCACAGGCTGGAGGTGTGGAGGGGTCAAAGTTGCCTCTTCTCGGTGGTTTTGCCTGCAAGGTGTGTCTCCTGCGTCTCTCCAAGATTTCACTATAGGAGGCACGCTTTCTGCTTCCTCCCTCTAGCCGCCATCTTGGAATCCCTGTTATTTATTTTTTAAATTTTGTTTTCTTCTTGATGTTAGTATATAAAACTATAATTAATTTTGGGATATTGACGTTGTTTCCAGTGAGCTTGCTTCTCTAATAGTTTGTTAGGAGTTTCTCTGAATTTCCTATAAATATGTTTTTATTAATTGTGAATAAGGACAGTTTTCTTCCCTTGCCCCCCTAATTTGTAGACCATTTATTATTTTTTTCTTATTTCAGTCGCTACTTCTTGCTCAATATTAAATAAAATACTTCCCCACTATTAAATATGATGTTGGTGTTTAGATTTTTCTAGATTCTCTCTTTTAGGTTAAGAAAGTTCCAGGCTGAGACAGGAAGAGCAAGAGTTCAAGGATAGTCTGTGTTTAATAGTAAGTCCGAGTCCAGCTTGTGTTCTTTAGTGAGTTTAACCCAGCTGGAATACAAAGGTAAGACTCTGTCCCAAAAAAACCAAAGCATAGGGCCACAAGCAGTGGCTTATGAACTGTAAATCCCAGCTATTCTGGAGGTGGAGATTGGGAGGATCATGGTTCCCAAGAACAGCCCAGGTCAAAAATTAAGCAAAACTCCATCTCAACAATACACCTGTGGTGGTGGTACACCTGTGGTAGACATCTGTAATCCCAGGGAAGTGATAGGGAGATGGATCGTGGTTCAAGACCGTCTCCAGGCAAAAACATGAGACCCTATCCAAAATATAACTGAACAAAAATGGGGTAGGTGCATGACTCAATTGGTAGAGTGCCTTCCTAGCCAGCAGGAAGCCCTGAGTTCAAACACCAGTACCACACACACACACACAAAAGAAAAAGTTTTAAAATAAAAAGTCCTTTTATACTCCTAGTTGCTGAGCATTTCTTCATGAATAGCTGTATTGAGTTTTTTAATGGCTTTTTAATCCATGTAATGAATTTTGAGGATTGGGTTTGTTGCATTCCTGCAACAAACTGCTCCTGATGATAAATCCTTTTGCTATATTGTAAAATCCTATTTGTTAATTGTTTTAAAGTATTTTGTGTATATGTTAACTATGAAAATGGTTTGTAATTTTCCTTGTATTTTGTCAGGGTTTGATATTTATATTATGCTGGTCACATTTAATGAATTGATAAGCTCTTCATTTACTGTTTTCTAAAAGTATTCATATAAAGGTGGTATTATTTTTCTTTAATGTTTAAGAGACGTTATCTGAGCCTGCAATTTTCTACTTTTTTTTTTTTTTTTTTGTGGTACTGGGGCTTAAACTCAGGGTCTACACCTTGAGCCACTCCACCAGCCCTATTTTTATGATGGTTTTTTTTTTTTTTTTTCAAGATAGGATCTCTTGAACTGTGTGCCTGGGCTGGCTTCAAACCGTGATCTTCCTGATCTCTATCTCCTGAGTAGCTAGGATTACAGGCGTGAGCCCACTTGGCACCCAGCTCTTGCAGTTTTCTTGTGGAAAAGTTTTTTGATAACATCCCATTTTCTTAATACAAATAAGAATATTCAGATTTTCTATTTCTTCTTTGTTAGGTTTTTAAACTTTTTAAAGGGCTTATCCATTTCTTTCATCTAATGAGTCAAATTATTGGTGTAAAGTTCTTCATAATAGCATCAAGTGATATGCTTAATATGTATTATGTAGTGATGGCCTCTCTTTCTGAATAATTTTTGTGAAGTACAAAGGTTCTTATTTCACTCTCACTTGATTTAAGGGTTCCATTAACCTCAAATGATGATGATGATGATGATGGTGATGATAAAGAGGAAACAGAGTGTGACAACAATATTTCATCAAAGACATCACCTGATGTTTCCTCTTCAATATCAACGAGACAACCTTCATCAGCTCAGTGTAATTTGCAAAAGTTGTTTCTTAAAGAAGATAATCAGTATGTGAATAGTTTAGGTGATTCAGAACACATTGCTTCTACTGACAGTGTACTTCCCAAAGGTGAGATTGTTTTAAAAACTCATTTTGAGCATCAGTATTAAATAATTATATTCATCAGACTTTCTTCTTGAGGGCAATGATGTATAAACTGTTAATAAATACAGATTTGCTAACTTCTACCATTTAAAACTACTGGTGAAAATTTTAATTTAAAAGTAAATTTAGGGGTTGATGGAGTGGCTCAAATGGTAGAGCACCTGTCTAGCAAGCATGAGGCCATGAGTTCAAACATCAGTACCGTCAAAAAAAAAAAAAAAGTAAATGTACTTACAAATGTCAAACCCACAGTGGTCTAAATTTTTATTCTGGAAGAAATCTGTAGAAATGAGTGGTCCTAAGGAGATTTTCTTACTATCTCAGCTTATGATTTGAAAGATACCATATATTTATTTAGTTGTGCTGTCTCTTCCCCACCACCCTGTGATACTGGAGTTTGAACTCAGGGCCTACACCTTGAGCCATTCTACCAGCCCTTTTTGTGATGGGTCTTTTTGAGATAGGGTCTTACGAACTATTTATTCAGGCTGGCTTTGAACCTAACCCTTATCAGTTATCACTATTGTGTGGGTGCATTTGCTGGCCTCCTTCAACTCCAGAAGTATTTGTTAATGGCTTTACTATTGCTTAACCTCTACTCTACTAGTGAAGCTGAAGCAGAATGAATTCTCAGTAGTATGTATTTTCCATAAGTTCATAGGTAAAATGTGACTTATGAATACTCTGATAATTTCTAATTCATTTTTTATCAGTATAGGCACTTAGAAATATAAGAATCTAAGCAGAACACGTTGTCAGAAATCTTCACTGTAAAACAGCCTGATTTCTAATTTGTTTAAAGTAGCATTACTTTCTTCGTTATTTATTTCTGGATTTTATTTCCTTTATTTTTTAGAAAGCCATTGCCACTCAGACCAAAGTTCCAGGAGTTCTCTAGTGAGTGAAATGAGAAATGCCCCATCTATCAGCCACAGAAGGGAAAAATCATCTCTTAGTAATGTGACTGAAAGGAAGAAGCATGGATCTACTGGGGGATTAAATAATCCTATTACAGACACTCCCTGTGTGACAGATTTAGATCAACATTGGATTTTAAATTCAGAAGTAAGCTGGAATAATGAGATAAATGATTGCACTAATGAAAAGAATATTAAGATGCAAGAAAATAGACACTGCCTTTCTGACTTGCCTTCAGAGTCTGCCAGTGAACCTAATGCAGAGTGCCTGTATCAAGTTCAGAGTAATGATGACTTTCAGTTACAGGAAACTGTGCATGACAATGCTGACATGGATTTAACTGCTAGTGAAGTAAGCAAAATTGTTGCAGTTTCAAGAGGCAATAAAAATAAAAGCAATAAAAAATCAAATTGTGAAATAGGAACTTTCAGAAAAGTAAAAGATCCAAGCTCTGAACAAAAGAGAGAAAGAACAAAGAGAAAATGTAAAAGTAGTTCAGATGCAGATACTGAGGAAAAGATAGAAAACAGACCAGAAAGAAGGTCTATTGTCCTGGATGGCAAAAGTCATTCAGAAGATCCAAATCTTATTATCAATACTGACCAGCTGACTGAGATGAACATACCAAAGAAAATAACCCTTCAGAATGGCTTTGATGAAGATGACAGACAAAATATACACTACAACAAAAAGAAGAAACAAATACATGTAACGAATGAGCAAGAGGAAACACATTCTTTCTCCCAAAGTTCAGATAAATTCCTGCAAGAGAATAAATTTGATATGGATCAGAATTCCCTAACTTATGGTAAAAGTAAAACTTCTAGACAGACATTTGTGATTCATAAGTTAGTAAAAGATAATTTATTTCCAAACCAAAATGATAAAGACACCATTTCTGAAAACCTAGAAGTTCCACATGAATGTCAAACATCTGAACTTTCCTCCAAAGATACTAATTTTTGTGAGACTCAGAAAATGTTGGATTTGAAAAAGTATGTCACTGATATGCAGCCTGCTAAGCAAAATAAATCAAAAGTAAATAAGCTTAGGCAAAAAGTAAATCGGAGGACAGAAATAATCTCTGAAATGAACCGACTGTATGAAGATAATGATAAAGATATGCATAGCCCAGAAAAAAGTAACTTTTACCCCCAAACTCAAGAGAATAAAGAGACCATGTCTCAAAACCCAGAAGCTTCAAAAGAGTTTCAAATACATACTGTTTTCATGAGAGACAATGGAGATTTTTATGATTATGAGACCCAGAATGTGTTAGATTTGCAAAAGCAGATCACTACTGTGAGCCCTGTTCTTCAAAATGAGTCAAAAATTAGTAAGAAACCTAGGCAAAAAGTAAATCGGAAGACAGAAATAATTTCTGAAGCAAATCATTTTGATAATGACAAAAGCCTGCATTGTTCAGAAAAGGGTCATTCTTTCTTCCTACAAAAGGATAAAGAAGTCATTTCTGGAAACCAAAAGGACCCAAGTGAGTTTCCAACTCCTGTTCTTTGTACCAAAGATAGTGGAGCGCTATATGATTATGAGACTCAAAATATTTTGGGGGTGAAAAAGAATGCCTATGATGTGCAACCTGCTTATCAAAATGATCCAAAAATAGATAAGCAGCTTAGACAAAAGGTACATCGAAAGACAGAAATAATTTCTGAAATCAGCCAAATACATGAGAATGATGACAAAGGTATACGTGACCTAGAAAAAGATCCCTTCGTTTATTTAACTCAAAAGGATAAAGAAACCATTTCAGGAAACCTAGAAATTGCAAATGAATTTCATCCAGCTGATTTTCTCACCCAAGATAGTGGAAATTTAGATGACCATGAAACCCAGAATATATTGGATTTGCAAAAGCATATCACTAATATGCAACTTACTCAGCAAAATGAATCAAAAATAAATAAGCTTAGACAGAAAGTAAATCGGAGGACAGAAATCATTTCTGAAATGAACCAAATATATGAGGATTTTGATAAAGATGTACATGCCCAAAAATGCTATACAAATGATTGTGATTTTAAAATAAGTAAATCTAAACAAAAACTTGAATGCCAAGGCATTATCAGTGAATACCATGTGAAAAACAACAGTAACAAAAAGGAAAGTTATGATGAAAACCCAAATCCTTACAAACTCATTAAAAAATGTTGCAAAAAGTCATTAGGCAAAGAAAAGAACATTTTGACAAGAGATAAGAACAAATCTATTTTGCCATTAACAAATTCTTCAGAGGCATCTGTCTCCGTAGAGTCTGGTTTAAAACACACTAATGAAACAGATTCTGATACCAGAAACCAGATTGAACTACCTAAGAATCAGAAGCAAAGCACTGTAACTCTGAATATAAAAAGAGGTATACCCTTTGTGGAAGTGATAGAAGAAGGAAAATGCCCAGTCAAAAAAGTAAATAAAGTGACATCCAAATCCAAGAAAAGGAAGATCCTTATAGATCCTTCTCCAGATACCCATGAAGTAATAGAAATAATACCTGACATTGACCACAGAAAGTTAATTGACTCTGAACAAGTTGATAAGGAAAACTGTTTGGAGAATGAGAAAATTGTCAAAATTAAGTCTGATTTTTACACAAAGGTGCTTAACCCTTTATCTCAGACATATTCACCTAACATACAAAATTCTTCCTTTGACAGTATTCATGAGAGTCCAATACCTTTGAGTATTTCTTCTACTAAAAACCTAATAGAAGAAAATTTTGCCCTGGGTAGTTCACCCATCCTTCAAGTAAGTGATGATATACACGAGAGGATAAAAGAGGTGAAATTTAAAGTCAACCAGAGAACACAAAAATCAGGAATAGGTAGGTCGATGTCTAACGTGATCAAATTTTAGAAGTGCTTTTTTTTTTTTTTCTTCCACTTAGTAAAGTATCTCCTGTTAAACCTGGTATTTTTGTGGAATTGTAAAACAGTATATAGCTGTGATCTATAGAAATAGCATTAAGGAATTAAAATGTAGTACTTTGGGACAATGACATTCACAGCCTAAAAAACTGATCTTTACCACAAAGTTATCTAATAATGGCTTTAGGCAGGTAATTTCCTTTTCCATCGTATCTGAAGGAAATTGAATGTTTAAAATGTATATAATAAGGAACTGCACTGATTTTATTTTACCAAAGACAATTGCAGGCTTCATAAAGATGGGACTCTTCATCCAGGAGCATATATTTAATGTGATCAAAGTATTATTCTAGGTGTTATAGGAGACTGAAAAGTAAGACCAGCTCTGTCCTCTGAACATGTGTATGTTAAAGTAACAGAAAATAGTGGTGAAAGTGGTAAAACTTTCAATAAAAGCAGACTAATTATGCTAAGTGATGTAATGAGAAATGTTGATTAGAAGAATCTGAAAATTAAATAGCATTTGAGGCTTTAACAGATAGATACATTTTTACCATTAGTGTTTACTTTTATTTTTCTGCAGTTACTAGAATAATCCTCACTGCATAAAATTGAAAGTAGAGAGTCAGAAAAAAAGTGGGGAAAAAAAATCACCCAGACATGTGGCAGTCACCATTTTGCCATATGCATGCAGACTTGAATGTAAAGATTTTTAACTAATTATTAGAAATTATACCATATATAATATTCCTTATCCCTCTTTTTTCCCCTTAACATTGTGTCCTAAGGATGTTCCTTTGTTAGTCAGAGAGTTTGTAGCTTTTTCTAACATGAGACATTCCTATCTCTATTAATTTTTTTCTGCTAGGAACCTAACATTTCAATACATGTACATAGAACATTAGGATTTTGATGGGTAAAGATATTCCAGGTAAAAGATACCCGAGGCAAGAAAAGTACAAAGGTCTAGAATTGTAGGATATGTTAAAGGACTGTGAACTGTCACTCATCTCTGTACTCATCATGTCTCACAGAGTGAGCAACCAGAGATGTATGTGTTGAATGAATGTGCAGTAATTGGTGTAGTTCTGTGAAAAGAGTTGAACCATGAAGAATTTTTAGCAGCCTTTGTGCGATTTCAGAACAAGAATGTTGCAGGCGTTAAAAGGTTTTCTAAATTTTAAGCCTCATTTCCTCTCATAATTGAATTGTTAAGCTTTAAAGTTTGTACCCAATGTCTTGCATACCACTATATATTCCATATTTATTTCCATATCTCCATATTTGCTTTTATAAATAGTTCTGAAAATAATGTTCTTTTCAGGTAACAAAAAGTTACAGGACTTGACCGATACCTGTTTTGTTTCAAATAATACTGCTAATTTTGAAAATGAGTCAGAAAATCTATCTTCAAAGCTGCCAAGCAGAAAAAGAAGGTGTACTCCTGTCAGTTTCAAAGAGCCAGGTCTAAAAGGGCAAGTATTTGAGTAATTTCAGTATGCTTTTATGAAATAGGTGCTTTTATAAACATTGCCTGAATTAGTATTTGACACTCCTGAGTATCGATAAAAATACATTGGTGACATGTAACAACCAGAGCATTAGTATGGTATTATGTTATTAACTAAACTACAGACTGCCACTAACACCGTTTTTTTGTTTCAGAATCAGAATCCAGGCCCCTACATTGTATTTAGTTTTTATTTCTCCTTAGCTTCCTCACACCTGTGACAGTTCCTCAGCCTTTCCTTTTTTTAAAATGCCTTTGACACCTTTGAAGACTACCAGTCACTTTGTAGAATATCCCTCAATCTGGGGTTTTTCTAATGTGTTTTCATGGTCACACTATGGTTATGCATCGTTGATAAGAATTCCACAAAAAAGACAGGTCCTCATTGCATCATACTAAGGATTCATCATGTCAGTGTCGTACTACAAATAAGACCTTGATCACTTGGTTATCATGATGTCTTCTGGATATTTTTACTATAAAATCATTTATCTTCGCCTTTAGAAAGGACATTGGGGAGACACTTTGAGTCTATATATCCTATCTCTCAAAGTTTTTTGCTTACTAATTTTAATATCCATTGGTGGACCTTATTTACAATGATCTCTACTGTGTGATGGTTTCTATTTCCCTCTTCTACATTTATTGAAATTCTTCTGTAAATGCATGCTGTCCGTTCTTCCTCTTTTATTTACTTATATTAGTATGGACTCATAGCTGTTTTTCATTCTATAGATAAAAATCTAATAATGTCAATCTTAATTTCATTATTTAAGCTATTACAACTTTGGTGTTAGGAGTCCCTTCAGATTAGCATCTGCTTCCTTTTGACAAGAATCCATACTAATTTGACTGCTTCATTACTCTCTGACATCACAAGATGTTCCAGGCTCAGTGTTTTTCCTGCCCTGGCCCCAGAATCAAGCACTTTGTTAGGAAACCGAATTTCCTTGATTGTAGAATTTTCTTTAGAAATGAAGATCTGGGCACTAGGTATGCTCACGACTTAGATTGTGTAGTACTAACTGTCAACTGTGGCACAACAGGATTACCATAAACTCAAGTAACTTAAAGCAGCATGCATTTATTATTTCTCAGTCTCTGTGCGTCAGGGTCTTATAAAGCTGAGATCAAGTGTCACACAGGCTGGTTTTTCACCTGGAGTCTCTCCTGAGAGATAATATACTTCCAAGATCACATCAGTGATTGGCAGAATTAATGTCCTTGTGGTTGTAGAACAGAGGGCCTCAGCATCTTGCTATTGGCTGTAAGCTGTTCTCATTTGCTTGTCACCTGCCCCATCCCACCCCCAAAAAGGCCACTTCCTTCAAAGTCAACTATGGAGAACAAAATCCTCTAGGAAGATGGAGTCTTACTTTACAATGAAATGTACCTCAGAATTTTTTTTTTTTTTTTTTTTTGGCAGTACTGGGGTTTGAACTCAGGGCCTACAACTTGATCCACTCCACCAACCCTTTTTTGTGTTATGTGTTTTTGGGATAGGGTCTCGCAGAATTAATTGCCAGGGGCTGGTTTCGAACCACGATCCTCCTGATCTCTGCCTCCTGAGTAGCTAGGATTACTGTATCTCAGAATTGAGATAGCCTGTTACCCTTGTCACAGTCTTGGTTAAACACAAGTCATAGCTCCTCCCCATAATCAAGGTGAGGGGGGCTTATGCAAAGGTGTGAATGCCTGTAGACAAGGATTACAGGGTTGGAGAGTCCTCCTTAGAGTCAGCCCACCACCAGGACATTTCAGTTGGACCCTCTTATAGACAGAGCTAGGAAATATATGTAGTTATAGTAACCCACATATAAACATAGTTTTATATTTCTGCGTTTATGTGTATAGTAAAAAACATGTTACATTAGAATGTATCTCATAGCTCTGATTCTAATTCAACACTTCAGGGTTCATTTTAGTCTTCCCCTTTTGCTTATTCACAACTTCTCCATCAGTGAGAAGTCTGTTACTTGTTAACCTATAAAATATTTACTTCTTTGCTCAATTCTATTACGCACATACAGTAATTTTAGAATTATCAGCTCATATTCCTGTGAGAAGCATGTTTACTAACTAGCTTATAGCATTTAGGTACAGTTGTTTTGGTCTTAGGTTTGTTCATTTCCTTCCCATTCTCTTCAATGTAGTCATGTTATTTATTCACTTGTGACTCAGTAAGGTTCATGTGCTGTCTCTCTGTCATTGTACCAACGTGTAGAGAGTTAGAGCATGTACACCCCACAACCTCATCAACAGAATGTGTTGTCATATTTTTCAGTTTATGTCAGTGGTAGCTGAGAAATGGTATCTCAGTGGTATTTAATTCATTTCTCCGTTAAGTGAATTTAAATGGCTTCTCATATGCTTGTGGCCTATTGTCTTTTTTTTTTTTTTTTTTGGTCTGTTCATGTCTTTCTTATTTTTCATTCTTTGTCCATTACTTATTAAAAATTCTTTATATATTAGAGATAATTCACTCTGGTATAGCCAATTTTTTCATTTGTCAGTTATCTTTTGATGTTTTTTAATCATGTAAAATTTTATCTTTCTATAAACTTACAATCTTTTCTTTTATCCTTTTCGAATTTTGGGCTATAGTTAAAAAGACTTTCTCTGTGCCATGGAATTCACCCATATTTTCTTGTACTGTTTTTATAGTTTCATTTCTTATGTAAATTCCTGTGTAGAGTTTTTTTTTTCTTTGTTTGTGGGTGGTTTAAGATATGGATTAAATCTTATCTTTTTTCCAAATTGCTCCCTGGTTTGTCCAACACCATTTATTTAAGAATGCATTTTTAAAGAGCTAGGTGTGGTGATGCACCCCTAATTCCAATTATTTGGGAGGTAGAGGCAGGAGGATCAGGGTTTGAGACTGGCCTGGGTAAAACTGGCAGACCCTATCTGAAAAATAACTAAAGCAAAAAGGGCTGGGAGCATGGATCAAGTGGAAGAGTGTTCCCCTAGCAAGTGTGAGGCCCTAAGTTCAAGCCCCAGTACTGAACAACAACAATTGAGATGCCAGCCATGTTATATACTAAATTTCCACATATGTATTTTTGGGGGATATGGACCTTTTACTATATTGTACCGGTCTACTTGTTTATTCAGGAGGCTTCATAGTATGTTTTTAGATACGGTAGAGCTAATACCCTTTCATAGTTTTCTGCTTATTTCTTTCTTGACCAGTCTTGAGTGCTTGTTTTTTTGTATGAACTTGATAGTGACCTGCCTAGGTCAGGGTTTCATAACCTTGGCACTATAACATTTTGGGATACTAATTCTTTTTTATGGCTGGCAGTTGGATGCATTGTAAGATGCTTAGTATCCTTGACCTCCACCTATTAGATGTCATTAACATCCCCTGCTTACAACAACTAAAACTGTCTCCAAATGTTGCAAAATGATATGGGAGGGAGGGCAAAATCACTCTTGGTTAGAAACCACTGGTCTAGCTTTTTATTTTTATTGGGATACATTGAATTCATATATTAATTTAGGGATTGATCTTTGTAACTGGCTTGTTCTGTTCCAAAACAGGAATGTCTGTTCAAGCTGTTCAAGTCATCATTTTGTGTGTGTGTTTTAAAATTTTCCTCATGTAGGTTTTGCACATTCTAGTTACCTTTATAAATGTTAGTGTCTTCTAAACTTTCCCTCTCTCTCTCTCTCTCTCTCTCTCTCTCTCTCTCTCTCTCTGTGTGTGTGTGTGTGTGTGTGTGTGTGTGTGTGTGTGTGTGTGTGGTAGGGGGCAGTATTGGGGTTTGAACTCAGGGCCATGTGCTTGCTAGGCAGATGCTCTAGTACTTGAGCCACACCCCAGCACTATATTTAGTCTTCTTGTTACTACTGTAAATGAACCTATAAATCTTGCCCAGTGTTTATTGTTTGTGTATATGAAGGCTATTTGGTGTCAGTTTTATATCTTTTTTACTTAACCTAATTCTTTTATTCTCTATCTCATTCTCTGGAATTGTCCAGGTACACTATGATAGTCTCTGAAAATAGAGATAGTTTTACTTCTTTACTCCATCATATGGTTGTAATTGACTTCTCTTGCTGATTGCATCGACTATGGTGTAGAATAGTAGTAGGAATGGAAGGCATTTTTACTTTATTTTCAATTTAGTGGAAATTTTTTTTATTGTTTCTCTAGTAACAAGACACTGACTCTAGGGTTAAGGTATATATAATTTATATTAGAAGTGTCCCACATGTTTATTTTTATCATAACTATGTGTTGAATTTTGTCAAAGGCTTTTTCAGCATCCGTGGAGATTATATAAGCTTTATTTTCTTAGCTTTATTACCATGATGATGTTAGGTGTTCTAATATTGAACCAATTTTGCATTCCTGGAATAAATCCCACATGGTCATGGTATTATTTTTTCATAATAAATCATATAAGTATTCACATAATAATTCACATTATGTTTGCTAAAATATTTTGTTTAGAATTTTATGTCAATATTCATAACTGATAGAGGTCTATAATTTTCCTTGAACTTTCTGTATCTGGCTTAGGTATCAGTATTTTATATCTTCTGTATTAAGAGAGTCAGGAACTTATTTTTTACACTGTCTTGAAATAATGTATAGAGTACTAGAACTGTCTGCTCTTAAAAGGTTTCTTATAATTCCTTCTCAAGCTAGCTGGACATGGTGGGGTATTTTGTTTTGTTTGTTTGTTTTGTGGAATGGTTCCTTAATAACTTTGTCTATTTCCTTTGTGAAAATTGTTTTAAACATTTTTCACTCTAATGGGATCAGTTTTGATTACTTGTATTTCTATTAAAAATTATTATTTATTTATTATTTATTTCAAATTTAGTTACATAAAAAATATACAAAAGTATTCCTTAGGAATTCAGTTTGTAAACAGAATTTAATTATCTTTTTTCAATGATCATTTTCCCTTTTTCATTCTTTTTTTTGTATCAGTACTTTTTTTCAAGTTATGTAGTAGTTTGTCCATTA